ACAGCAAGACAGCGACCACTCCTCATGTGACCAGTAGCAAGGTGGCAACACTTCCCCCTGTGATCCATGGCAAGGTGGCCGCGGAGGGGCACTTGATGAAGGACCGCTAGACGATCGTCGGACACAATGTGTCTCACTGGGTGGCTGCGAAATGTGAGGGGATTTGGTGATGATAGGGGAGCAGAGGAGTAGGGGGGAGGGGGCAGTCAGACAGGACAGCTGTGTCTGGGTGAGGAGACTGGGGAACGCGAGAGATGGGGGTGAGGAAGTGAAGGAAGAATGGGAGGCCATAGTAGGTAAGGCAAGGGAGGGTGAGGCTGGAAGCTCAGGAGACCGTCGTTGAGGGCACTGCGGAGTTTGGGCTTGAAGATATGGGGCAAAGACTGGAGGAATGTTGTCGAGAGGTTCTGATGGAGCCAGGAGAAGAGAATGAGGCAGAGTGGTGTGAGTTAGAGTATTGGGGCCACTTGACATGACTGCATGGCAGAGAGACATGCCATCAAAGAAAGGAAAGCCTAGATATAGGGGTTCTCCTGCCATTTGCTGGTGCAGAGACAACAGTTTTTCAAATCTTGGAGGACTAAGGGTAAAAGATTTTCCCCCTCAGGCCACCATCTGCTATTGTTGAGTTTATATTATAGCCAAGTTATCTGGCAGTGCAAGATTAACTTTTTGGGTTCTGTGACCTCTCCAAGGCCAAGGGAGCCAAGACTACGAATGAGGCACCTGAGCAGAGTGTCTTTTGCAAGCTGGGAATGAATATTCCCATAGTAGCTGCAAGCCCAGAGCTTAAACCCTACAGAGATTCTCCAGAGTATGAATTATGGGATCCCCCACCTGTCCGCCCAGTCATTGCTGGCTGAGAGAGGGAGAAGCAGTGCCTGCCTCTGGGCAACAGGGCAGTCTTCCTGCTCAAGGACTATGAGGGCAGCTCCTCTCTCCAAAGGTCATAGTGGATTTCCTGACATGCTCCCATGATTTTTGAGACTGAGAAACCGGCACAGGAAACCTCAAGAAGTGAGAAATGGTTCGCCTGTGAGAAATGAGACTGGCCAGTGTTGAATGCAAGCTAGCAGCAGCACCCAGCAGAGGCCAGAGGAGCAGGAAAGCGGCTCGTTGGTGGGAAGCTCAAAACCGGGAGGAGCCCTGAGAGCTACATGGCTCAGTGATCCAAATCATGACACCAAAATGTTGGGATTTTTGGTGCAGCAAAGAAGCAGAAGTTTAAAAAAAGGAAGGAGGGAGTGTGTGGGAGAGGTTCTTGCTACCCCTGCCAGTCCAAGCCCAGGCGCAGCGTGGATGAGACCCTCTTTCACCACCTTGGCACCACCCCACCACTCCGCAGCACCCCACCCGACCCTGCCTGCCCAGTGAGAATTTCTGCCTCATTCTGGGGACCCCCAGATCCAGTCCTAGCCCAGACCCCGTGAGTGTGTGGGAGACCTTTTCTCCCCGCTACTCCACCTTGTCACCTCCAGACTCAGCTCAGGCCTGGCATACAGGTCTGGGTTGAAACCCTGCAACTGCAATCCCTGCAGAGAGTGTAGGGGACAGAACC